TCTTTGATCTTGATATCAATTTGTGGGACACCTCCCCCTATGTGATAGCATGGGTCATCCATTCGATACACTTGAGCTTTTGTAGGTGAGGGATGCATTCTTCATTTGATGATCACTTAAAGTTGAGGATCACTTGTGGAACCATCGTCTTGCATGATTGATACCACGTGTAGATATGATACCACTTGAAAGAATTTTCTTGCATGGAACCACTTGTTGGATTTGTCAATTTTGATCATTTCTTGAACATTTGCTATCTTCACGAGTACCACTTATAGGATATTACTTGTGGGTTGATCTAGACATTGCTTGTGAATTCTTGATGAAATACTTGAGTCTAGATACCACTTAGAACAAACAAACTATATATCCATTTGCATTGTTGTCTAGTGCTTGTACTCTTATCACTATCATGAGCTTCTAAGTTGACTTGAACTAAATAGATTTGCCTAAGCTTTCAAGTCTGATTTGAACCAATGACAAGCTTCTTCACACCTCTTGCAAGGGTTATCTTGCCAATGTTGTACTTGTCACTTGTTGGCAAAGATATATTTGTGTGCCAAATATATGTCGATGACATAATATTTGGTAGTACTAATCATTGTTTTTGTGAGGAATTTAGTAGGATCATGACCAAGAGATTTGAGATGTCCATGATGGGTGAATTGAAGTTCTTCCTTGGATTTCAAATCAAGTAAATGAAGGATGGAACTTTTATTAGCCAAACGAAGTACACCCATGATATGCTCAAGAAGTTTGACATGGTGAATGCCAAGCCTATCAAAACTCCCATGCCAATCAATGGACATCTAGATCTCAATGATGAATGGAAAGCCATGGATACTAAGGTATATCGCTCTATGATCGGATCTCTACTTTATTTGTGTGCATCTAGGCCTGATATTATGCTTAATGTGTGCATGTGTACTAGATTTCAAGCTAACCCGAAAGAGTGTCACTTAGTGGCCATTAAGAGAATTATGAGATATTTAGTACACACTCCTAACCTTGGCTTGTAGTATCCTAAGGGCTCTAGGTTTGATCTATTTGGGTATTCGGATTCCGATTACGCCGGTTGCAAAGTAGATCAAAAAAGCACTTCGGGGACATGTCAATTCCTTGGATGGTCCCTAGTGTCTTGGAGTTCTAAAAAGCAAAATTGTATAGCCCTTTCCACCACCGAGGCCGAGTATATTGCAGCCGGTGCATGTTGTGCTCAACTATTTTGGATGAGGCAAACCCTTCAAGATTTCGGATGTCACTTCACAAAAATCCCACTCTTGTGTGACAACGAAAGTGCCATAAAGTTAGCCAACAATCCTATAAGCCACTCACGAACTAAGCACATAGACATCCAATATCATTTCTTGTGAGACCATGAAGTCAAAGGAGATATCGAAATTCATCATGTGAGCACCGAAAAGCAACTAGCCGATATCTTCACTAAGCCTCTTGATGAGTCAAGGTTTTGTGCTTTGCGTAGTGAGCTAAATATACTTGATTCTTGTAACGTGGTTTGAAATTTAGCATGCCTCTGATTGATCAACTAGTATCTAGGAAAAAGAGTTGCGAAATTTTATATTGTGCTTCAAATTGGTTTAGAAAAGGCAACCTATGTATCATGATCATGGTCTGTATTGTTTATTTGTTGTTGGTCATGATATATATGTGATATGTGTCTATATCCTATGTAGAGTGAGTCTCTTAGATAGTAGCTAACTCCCACTATTTTGGAGAGTGTGGCAGTGTCGCGCCTTGCGTGCAACAGTGCCGAGCTAGGCATGCGGCAGTGCCGCACTTTGAATCTCTATCAAGATTCAGCCAACAACGGTTTTACTGCGGGGCCCATCTACCTTATCTTTTTACCCAGGCCCGCAGTAACTCCCTCTCTCCCTCATTCTCACCCGACGCCGACGCCCGCACCTTCTCTTCCTCTAGTGCCCGTGCGTCGCCATCTCCTAGCCACATGCTGCTGGTCTTCAGCAATGCCGTGGTGGTTGCCGACCATCTTCCAATGCTGCCAGTGACTGCTGCTGCTCTTGGCCCGATCTGTTGCTCTTCTTCCCTCTCCAATCCTCATTTAAGAAGGTATAACCCTAATCCAACTAGATCTATGCAATGTGGGGTTATTTGTGATGGATTCAGGTTCTTAGTGGTAGTATGAACAAGTCGGAGGGAGATTTGATGGACAAATTCAATCAATATGTCAATTCATTGGTGGGGGGCGCACAGCACGTGCGGCAGTGCCGCACTCAGGTGCGGTAGTGCCACACCCTGTAGCTTGAATCTGCACCTAGCTGTGACTTTCCACAAGATGACTCGATGTATTGATTAGATTTGCTCACCACATGCTCTCTCCCACTCAAATTGCTGCTTCTACTCCCATTCATTGCATGACCTCATGTGTTTTATCTTGAACTGTGAGCTATGAGATCGTGTGGCGATGTGGGAAAACATTTGAAGAATGGATTTGGTAAGAAAGAAGAAGGAGGTCATGAGCTCGTGGAGATGCTGAGTGCGGCAGTGCCGCTCTCAGGGTGCAGCAGTGCCGCACTACCTGAGCAGCACTGTCCAAGTGGTCTCCCAAGTTCATGATCTAAATCATTTTTCTTATCAAGACTATTCTACAGTTGTTTTTCTGCCTCCCATTCATACAGTTTCTTATCTAGTTTCATTACAATGCATAAATGGAGCATGAAGACGATGACCGTAGAGGAAAGAGGAAGATGGTTGAGTCAAGAGACAAGGATCCCCCTCACCGTGGTCATGGAAGATCACCAGCAACTAGCAGTGGTGCAGCTCTGAGGGGTCATGGTGACAGGGGGAGGCATGAGCAGTACATCGAAAATGAGGAAAGGTTGGAGATGACTGGTCGCACCACGGATGCCTGTCCAAACACTCCCCTTCACTTGACTGAGTTCGACAGATCCTACATCAGAGAGGTTGATGGGGAGATGCTTATGAGAGTACCAGATGACTCTCGTCAGCATCCAGTCATCGACTATTCCAAGAGTTAGAAGTTGGTCGAAGAGGCTAGACAGATAAATCCCTATGCAATGCGCAAGGATTTGGGCATCGACTACAGGTTTTGGAATGAGTTTCATTCCAACGTCTATGCCACTGCTATCCTTGGTGCGAGGAAGACCAAGATAAGGAAGATGCAATATATTGACTGGGATGAGATAGAGAAAAAGGAGGAGCCTGAGTTTGATAAGGTGATCAAGGTCTGTGACCGCTCTGAGCTCTCCGATATCATGGGTTTCCAATATAACTGGAATGAAGAGGTACTTGCACAGTTCCACGCCACCTACTTCTATGATCAGTCCACTAATGAGATACATTGGATGAGGATAGTCGACACTACCGTGTTGATTTTGTCACCTTCAGTCAGATTCTGGGTTTTGGGGAAGAGCATTGGACTTACACTCACATTCATGATGAGCCCAGAGCAGAGATCCGTGACATCAGATACATGTGGAGAGACAGTAGGGCTGCTGATGGCAAAAGGAGTGGGCTGCATAGTTACTATTACATCCTAAACAACCTCATCAGGAACACTATCAATCCCAAGGATGGAGCAGCCTCGGACATAAATGGATATATGAGGATAGCTCGCTTTGCTCCAGGAGGGGATAAGTTCAATATCCCTCAGTTTATTTGGCATGAGCTGAGGCTTGTTATGGAGGATGGGAGGAAGGGACTGTCCTATTTCAAAATGTTTTCACATAAATTAATTGTTAAAGACCTAATATCAAAGAACAAAAATATTTCTCGTACAAATTTTCATCATTCACTCTCTCCCTTGTTCTGACTGTTCCTCCACTTCCCCGAGCATAAGAGTATTAACCAGTTTTACTCAGAATAGTATTGCATATGATGAATTAGAGATAAGAATCATAATTGGTTATTGCTCAACTGTGATCCGAACTCATGATGCACCCGTGCCCATACGAGTTAGCATAGCATGCGTCCAGTCATAGTACATAGTTCGATTCTAAGACGTATTGACTGATTGCGAAAGCTATGTGTTCTGTTGCAATGCACATTCATGTCTGCTAGTCTTTTATAAAGAGAGAAAAAAGGTCTTTTGGAAAATGGGAGTATTTTATATATTAGTAGTTTCTCCATGATGGACCTACTTGATAAAATGCACTGCCTTTTTTTTATTATAGCGCATTAGGACCTCTCTTTTTTTATTTCTAAAAATTACGTGCTTAACTTTTTTTCTACTAGGCCTGTGTAATCCAAGTTCTTAGCTCCAGCGTTGCCTAGACTCTGGAGCAAAATTACCATACTTTATTCACATCATAGAGAGGGAACATAACTAATATCCAGGTGGCCAATGAATGCGTCCTACATTAGAAGCTTTGAACGTAATCCGGATTGCGTCAGAAATTAAAAAAACGTTGACATTAGTAAATGCATGCAAAATTATATATATACCAAAAAATACAATAAGAATTAAAAATAAAGCTGATGACAGCAGGTTTACAATAAAAATTACAGTGAGAATTAAAAATAAAGATGATGACAGCAGGTTTACAATAAGAATTACAGTGAGAATTGAAAATAAAGCTGATGAGAGCCGGTTTACAGTAAGAAAAAAAAATTCTGATGAGAGTGGGATTTGAACCCACGCCCTTTCGGACCAGAACCTTAATCTGGCGCCTTAGACCAACTCGGCCATCTCATCAGATACGTGTATTGTTTTATTCTGTTATTTATATCTAAACTTAATAGTAATTCCAAAGTCATACTTCCCTCGTGATTGCCAGCACTGGCCACCCGCATCGTGTGTGAGCGTGCGCGGAAAAGCAACCTCAGCACACACCAAAAACACGATCGTTGTGGCATCATACGCCACGCTCAATCTAAGCCCGCCGCTTGTTCCTATATAACCCCTCCCAACAACACGTAACAGCCCACACAAACCCACAGCATCAGTGCAGCTCGCTCAACGTCACACGACGACACACGCACACACGATCATGGCCACGGCGATGACCGGCAGTACTCGCGCCAGCGCCGGCTCCTTCTTCCTCGTGCTTCTCTTCTTCGCGCTGGCCGGCGTCGCGGACCTCGCGTCCGCCACTGCCGGGGCAACTGCCACTGTTGCTGCCTTCAGAGGCGACGACAACAGCAACCACAACGCGGCGGCGCTTCTGACGACGCCGTCGTCGGCGTCCCCGGCCGAGCTGAACGGCTTCATGCAGTGCCTGCTGGGTTGCTTCACGCAGGTGTTCGGCTGCTCGTTCGGGTGCATGGGCAAGCAGGGCGCCGACCTACCGCTCTGCATCATCAGCTGCGACCAGAAGAGCATCGTCTGCATGATCCGCTGCGGGCTCTCGCCGTCGCCGTCGCCGCCCAAGCCCTCGCCGCCTGGGCCCAAGCCGCCGTCGCCCAAGCCACCCAAGCCGCCCACGCCCAAGCCACCCACGCCCAAACCACCCACGCCCAAGCCGCCCACACCCAAGCCTCCCACGCCCGCGCCACCAACGCCCGCGCCACCCGGCCCGCCCTACCCCGGCCCGCCCTACACCCCGCCGTACGCCGTCACCGGACGCAAGGCCGCGACATCTGCCTAAATATGCCGACATGTGCTAGCTCTCGACCGATCCATCCTACCAGTAAATATATATACTCCATAAAATGAGCATATATATTAATAACCATTAAGTTAAAAAAAAAGACACTGATCTCATGCTATACCTTATTATTAATTAACCTGGTCGATTCTACTGTCGCAACGTGCTACACTCTGTTAGTATGTTCAGGGTGAAGGCCAAATTATGTCACATGAGTAGTATATGTACACAACATGATCAATGTATTTTGATCTTTCAATATGATGAATGTACTTTGCTATTTTTATTCAAATGTTATGCTATTTGTAATTAAGTATATGTAATGCAAGAACCATTATTCTATTTATGCTGGAGGCCAGAATATTTTCATATTCCTTTATTTTTTAAAAAATATACTCCTATTTATGCAACCGTGAATGCATCGCTCATTCGCTCTCTGTCTCCCCGAACTTACACAACTTCTCTAAAGAAGGTTAACTGCATAAAATCGGTTTAATACATTTCTTCAATAACCTCCTCCCAATTCCCAATACCTTAAAAAAATGAATCACTTCACTTTCATCGCTGAAAGAAAATAGTATACAGGGAGCTGGAACCAAGCCATATATAGCCACCACCCTCGCAATATCACTTACCGGTCCCGGGGCCCTTGCTGTCATCTTTATACTGTGGAGCACATCCGAAAGTTCAGAGGTGAAACCGCTGAACTGAATGTGCAAGGGGTCAGGCTGGAGTCCAGGCACTTCGGCACCAGCAACATATGAACCTAACCTGCAAAACCTGTTCTTGTTTGTAGCCTTATTTGCTCCAATCACTTGGAAAAAGTATGCACTACAAAGTAAACGCAATCATGAATCAGTGACACAAATTTACCAACTTCACACAAGAACACATGCATTTCATTCCTTTATAAGCATCTGTGCAATTACAGTTACAACCCGGTCCACAGAATCAGCATTCAGATTTCTGTGGCATGAACAAACTGTAACACTCTCAGTTAATATATATCAACAAATCTTTGCTGGAACTCCTCCACGGAGAAGTCAGAAACTTATATTAATAATACAATCAGCAGGGGAAGTTTTCCTGCTACCAAGGCTTCAGATCTCCAGCAGGCCCAGCAGTCCAGTTGAGGTGCTTCTCTCCTGGTTGCAAGTATACACTCTGCATGTGTGGCAACTTGCGAGCAAGGCCGTTTAGGATCTGATGGAATGCGTCCCTAGGTTGGGCTGGCTGTGGGAACAACATGGCCTTCTTCATAGATGGATTGGCAAGCAATCTTTGCTTCCGGAGAATATCTTCGATTGGAATGGAAGTGAGGATTGAATCTAGCTTCGGAACATCCTCTTCGTCGACAAAAACTCCAATGTCCTCCCATGGGATAGCATCAGCAAATGGTACAACAATGTCATCATCTATGATGACTGGAATGCAGCCGAAAACCACGGCCTCCACCAGCCTTGGGCTCCATGGTGCCCATCCCAGTGGGCACAAGCAGAAGACTGCACGCTGCATATCTTCGTAGTAAGTGACAGGGTGATCTGTGGAGATATCAAAGAGATTGTTCTTGAAGTTCTCCCACAGTGATGCTCGGGCACCTCTGTTTCACATCCCAACAAAATGAGTAATTAGGATCCAGACATCATGTTTTGAGAGTATAGGATAGAAAATTCTACACACATGGCATTTTCTTACCTCGCATAATACCCACCCTCAGGGTCATTACCAAGTGAGCCTGCATTTTCTGTGGACGTGCATATGGCGGTATAATGATAGAACCCTCTTTCAGGCAGACGTGGTTCTTCTGTCCAAATGTTTGGACCAATGTAGCACGGCGGAGCATTGGAAGAATTCCGCGTTCGATAGCCTTTTCTTCCTATAAATAAAGACATAAAAATTGCAAATATAACTTAAGAGTTTTGGCTGCTAAAGGCAGGAACATTCCTGAGAAGGGAAAACCTTATGTCTGATAGAACTCCTACTTAATGTAGAACTGAAATAGTGGGCAGTCATGAGGTAAAGGAATTAGAAGTGATAATACCAACATGTCCTCACCTGATAGTGAAAGCATGCACCAAAATCATGTGGAACAACAAAGAAGTGATCAGCTCCATCAATTCTGTTCCAGAAAGGCCACTTGTTTGAAATAAACTGGATTGCACTTCTCATCATCCTTGGGGACTTGAATGGAAGCGGAAGTCCAGCAGGAGTAAGATCACATGTAGTGTAAACCGGCGTGTAGAACCAATCAGCTTCTTCTGGGTTGAGTGTTTGCACCGCACTAGAGAGATAGAAACGATGCATGAATATCTCGGCAGCAAACATGTGATGGAGGCATCGCGGATCCTTGGTGACAATCCTCTTGTTGTACTTGCTTGGCAAGTCATAGATGAAAACCTTCAACCTTCCAATAGGATTGTCCTCTAGCACATCACCAGCACTTCCTGCATGTGAATGCTCTTGGCTAAGTAACAGCTAATGAACGGAGGAATATCCTCCATATGAACCAAGCACACAGAAAGCTAACGAATAAATTGTAAAGTAAGCCAATCATGCAGCTATATTAAGACGAACATGGTAATTAGGTACATCTAGAATGTTAAAGAGGGGGAAAAGGTAGCAACATAACATAGGTTTAGAAAGTCCAATTTCGACAAACCATGCACTCGAGCATGATCGAATCGTACCAAATTAGTGATGTTGTGCATCTTTCTGCGATATGTTTCCTTTGGTCCTTGTCATCTCTTTTTGACAGATTCAGAATTTATGGGCTGACTGTCTGTCTCTGTCCTACAACTGTCTTTTAATTGTAGGCACACACATAATGGTGCAGGCATCACTAGGCTTGGTTTACTGCAGCAGAAATTGTCAATGGCATTACTCTGCAAGCAGTGCAGGCAGGTATGGTTGGCTAAGCTACCAACCATCAACCGCGTAGCACTTTGAAGAGAAGCAAAAAGGCTATTCTGATGGTAGCTCCATATTTGTCAGTAATGTTTTTTTTTTTTACCGTGGAGAATATATGCCTCACAAAAATACACTCAGAATGATCCACGGACCAATTAAGGGGCGGCGCCAACTTTGATCTTTTTTGTTTATATAAGGAAGGGGCACAATGCTGTTGAAAGATCGAATTTTGCATATGATGGCACCTATCGCAACTGCATATTTGGACTTCTGTAGTAAGGTATGCCGATTGGAAGGAAGCAAAGGAAGAGTTATAAGAATCTGCCGGTGAACTGAATTCGAACAGCCAATTCAGCAAGTCCCAAAGCTGAACTTGCTGACGATTCCAACAGACAAAGCTGAACAGTACTACAACTAATAATCACAATCCACGTTCAATCCATTAAGATAAAGGATAAAAAAAATTGCTGCTACGACGAGGAAGTCGGGAGCACCAGACAGAACGAGAAGGGAGTCACCTGCGATGCGCTCGGTGTTCCGACGAGCCACCCCGCCGGCCACCTCTGCTCCCGCAGCCGCGGAGACCGGCGGCGGCGAGAGGACAGGACACAGGAGATGGAAGCGACCGCAAGGAGGACGACCGCAGCGGGGCGCCACACCGCCCTCGCCGCCGTCATGGCCGCCACCCCCCAACAACCAACTCGGTCAAGAGATTCAGACGCGAGATGGTGGGAAGTAAGAGAAAGACGCGCAGAAGCTTCTCGGAGAAATGATCAGCGGAGAGTGGAAGATAAGATAGAGATTGCCTTGGGAGAAGAACGAGCCAAACCCAAACAGGGGGTTTGTTAGTTGCTTGTGACGATAAATTTGCAGAGAGGAGGGAAGGATTGGGAATGGATTGGTCGAATGGGTCATGCAAGGTTATGGAAGCAGGGGAAACACCATTGACCATAGTGAGCAAAGGCTATATTAATTGTTTACACAATCAGCAGATTTGTGTTTTGATTCTTGGTGTGGAAAAGGTAAAACTAATTGGTAGTACTACGGTAGGTAACGAGAAAACTGTAATTATAGGACACTAAATAATACGCTTTGTAGTTATAGGATTCTAATCGTCGACTTCGTTAAAATAATTTTTAAAACGTTGATTTTTTATTTTAGATGACATTTAATGTATTTTCTCACTTTGTTAATCAAAATACATGTATTTTGGCCCTGTGAAAAAATTCATTTACCCGACGTTCCTCCTTACCTCCGACACCGACGTCGCCGTTCCTCCTTCCCCTCCTCCCGACGCCGCCGAGGAGGCCGCACCCGGCTGAGGACCTGCAGCACGCGCAGGAGCAGCCCGTCAAGTACGGCGACGTGCTGGACGTGTCAGGCGAGCTGGCCTAGCGGCGCGTGGCTCCGAGGGACGCCGTGCTGCTGCAGGCCGCGGAGCAGTCCGTGCTCGGCGGGACGTAGAGGGGTGGGCCCGCCGCCGTGCTACAGTCCGCCGCGACGGTCAACGCGCGCGCGGGCCACGTGGGCAAGGCCCAGATCACGGGCCCCGTCGCCGACGCTGGTGCCACCGTCATCGAGGCCGAGCTCGCGGGCCGCCGCGTCGTCACGGAGTCCATCGGCGGGCAGGTGGTGGCGAAGATGGTGACCCCAGCGCCGGTGGCGATGACGGACCCGCCGGGCGCACTGGACAAGGACGCCGTCACGATCGGCCGCGCGCTGGAGGCCATGGTCGTGATGGCGGGGGACAGGCCGGTCTACCAGAGCGACGCGGCGGCCATCCAGGTCGCGGAGACGTGCGCCACGGGGTCCCATGCCACCATCCCCGGAGGGGTGGCCGCGGCGGCGCAGTCGCGGCTGATCAAAACGCCCGCGCCTTGCGCGACGAGGACTCGGTGCGAGCGATGGCTACTCTGCTTTTGTCATTTTCTCGATTCGCAGCTGTAGCCTGTAGGCGAAGTGTTTTGGACTGTCAGTGGTGACCGTGAGTTGCGTGGCCGTATGTACATGCGGAACGCGAGGGAGAGGCTTCGTAGGCCAGGTCTCTGATGTGCTTGGTGTTGGTGCACTAGCCGTACTCCTGCGTCCAGTAGCTTCCGCTGATGTAATAGCTCGCCAGGTACGCCAGGCCCAGGTGGCGGCCAGCCAGCCAAGGACGCGGCCGGCCAGCCAGCTCAGACCGCGGCCAGCCAGGTAGGCGGCGAGCAGCCTCATCCCACGTCAATTGAAGCCCTAAGGGTAATACGGTCATATCATAGCAAAATATATATATTTTAGTTGAGAAAGATGAATAAAAAGACTAAATGTCATGTATAACAAAGTGCCAACGTTTCAAGAGTCGTTTTAACGAAGTCGATGTTTAGAGTTCTATAATAACGAAATGCATTGTTTCGCGTCCTATAATTGCAATTTTCTCTAGATAAGCACCTTGATTTGTGCTGAGTTTATTTTCCGGTGGTTGGTTCTAGACTCCTAGGACAAAAGGGTGTCATGGGCTTGCTCGGGAGGGCTTTTCCTCAGTGAACGAGCTTGTGTAAAAGGCAACTCTCTGTAATTTGTCAATATGTCGAGGTTGAATCAGTAAGCAAATCATTTATTTTTCAGTAAAGAGCTGCGCGTGCTTCCTTCTCTCTTGGATTCTTCAGATATCAGTTTTCAGTTTGAAGAGCAGACCGTGTTGCCCTCGCTTGTCTGGCGGGTTCACAAATCTTTGATCTTTCGTTGGTGTACTAATCAGGGGCAGGGAACCTACTCGATGCACTCGTCGTGTCCTACCACTATCCTGTCAGCGAGTTCCCATCAAATCTGCTTCCAACGTGTACTTGGAAACACAACATTAATTGATTGGCGTAGCAAAGTCGCCCAACCAAGATCCGAATAAAAAGGGGCACGCGAATGAGACGTCCCGCAATTGCGCAAATTGGCAGCTTCACTCTACCTTGGAGAAAGATAGGCCCCCATCTGGAATTCACTTGAACTCTTGCGGGAATTGTTGCTGCTTTTTCGTGAAACAAAAAAACACACTACGGAATTGTCATGGCGGTTTTGCAGAGCTTCCAAACCAGCCCATCCTGTTACCCTCCTGCAGCGAACTGGGTCTCGACTCATCGAGCAAAAAATGCGGTGCAGGATACGGGACCCGTCAGTTGAGTCGTGGGTGGGCATGGGCACAGCGCTATGTACGCGTAGCGCGCACGTCCGGTCTCGTCCGGAGAGGGTTTGGTAGGTCCGGGACGGCAGGACCAAAGGAGGGAAGCCACCGTTAGCACTCTCAATCTTGATTTTCTGTGGTAAAAAAAAATCTAGATTTTCTAGTACGAGTATAGATCTCCTACAACTTTCTGGCCTCTTCATCTACCAAATTTGCAAACATCACAAGGCTCTGCTCAGTTCCATTTGAAAAAAAAATATATCATAGGAGTATAGTTTTTTTTTCCTCAAACTTCAAAATAAAAATCTTATCCCGTGAACTCTCAAAAACCATTTAAAGTACCTACTCCGGTTAGTTATTTTAAAGATGGTTTCATTCTTTGAAGTTAAATAAAATTAGGTAAATGTCTTATATTTTTTAAACCACGAAAAATATCTCCAAGCTTCTAAAAATTTTGAAAAAAAATCATTGGGATACCAAAAATAAATAAATGGTTAGAACTTATGAAAATATCTTTAGAAGTTTCTCAAAACATAGATCTAGCTCTAGGAAAAATATGTAGAAAATCTATAAAAAAATCCCAAAACATTCTAATCGATTTCTAACTTGTTTTAAAAACTTTACACGACAAACATGAATGCATTGAACATTTATGCATGTTGCATTCATGCTTGATGCATCTCATATTTTGTCGTGTGAAGTTTTTAAAACACGATTAGATATCAATTATAATGATTATGGAATTCTTCATATTTTTCTAAATATTTTTCCCATTTTCTTAGAGCTAAGCATAACTATTCCCATTCTAATATAAATACTTAGGGTGCGTTTGGTAGGGCTCCAGATTCTCGCAGAAACGCCACAACTTTAGGTATGGCAAACACCACAACTTGCCATACGGGAAGCTCCGCGCCCTATGTGTATGTGAAACCGAATCACTTGCAGGAAAGACCGTTTGGAAGTGATTTTGGTGATTCTCATGAGAATCTGAAATGTTTCTCCTATCCAAACGCACCCTTAATCTCTGGTGATTTATCTTTTTCACACAACTATATATCATGACGGTTTAAATGACACAACGTCCTTTTCTTCCAACCAAGTAATAGAATACAAGAGTTACTGACAGACGAGATAAAAAAATATGGACTGTACCAGCTAAATGTGTTACATAATCAATCCCACTTGAGATCAGGAAACAAAAACAGAACCAAACATGACAACAATTAACAGTATCCTTTAAGTAGCAACAGGTTATTCATTACTGTCAGGTGCTAGCAACAATACTGCACTCAGATAACTGTAACACCCTAGGTGTTAGGCTTGCATAATTTCACTTGCATTGCATGAGCATAATCATCAAGCAATCATATATAAGCTTTTACATGAGAAACGTACAATTGAAACATGCCTTGTTATTATATGTTTCCATATGTGTATGCTTATGATCATGTGTGAATAAGTGCAAGTGGTTGATGTTGGTCACTAAAACACCTTAGCTACACTTAGGATGACTAATGGAACAATGTTCATGTAGATCACTTTATCTAATTAAGCTCCTAAGAGATGATATACTTGTTGACCCAGGAAGTATTATATGTAACCAATGTATAAAATGATTGTGGAACCTTAGGAATACTCTAAACATGTTTAGAATATCACATGGAATAACTTTGGTATTCAGAAACTGCTATATGCTATTCTGATCACGTCACGCAAGCTCCGCCATTACTTCGAGTATTACAAGATCGCCGTGGTCACCGAGTTCCCTCTAGGGGACATTCTCTGCAACAAAGAGGCCAATGGCTGCATCATCAAGTGGGCTGTCGAGCTCGGCACTTACTCCATCGAATTCAGAAGCAGGCCTACCATCAAGTCATAGGCGCTTGCTGATTTCGTCACTGAGTGGACCGAGATCCAAGAGCCCATCACCGCTACTTGCCCCAGCACTGGGTGATGTACTTCGATGGCGCCCTCAACATCAACGGTGCTGGTGCTGGCATTCTGTTCATTACGCCGACCAAGGATAAGCTCTGATACGTTCTCCGAATACATTTTTCGGCTTCCAACAACGCCGCTGAATATGAAGCGTGTCTCCATGGACTCCGTATAGCCGTTGAGCTCGGCGTCAAATGCCTCATGGTATACGGGGACTCCACGCTGGTCATCAACCAGCTCAACAAAGACTGGTCCTGCTCTAGTGAAAAGATGGACGCATTTGCGCCGAAATCAGGAAACTCGAAGGGAAGTTATATGGTATCGAGTACCACCACGTGGTACAAGATCAGAATCAGCTCAACCACCTATCTAAGATAGGATCTTCTCGCGCCGCGATTCCACCTAGGGTCCTTGTTCAAGATCTCTTTACGCCATCCATTAAGGAAGAGAAGGAAGTTCAAGAAATTCCCCCCGCCGAGCAGCTGGTACTTACAGTACCTTCGCTGGCCGCTGATTGGAGGAAACAGTTCGTTAAGTACCTCACCAGCGCCGAAGTACCCGCCGACAAGACTGAAACGGAATGCCTAATCCGTCAAATCAAGCATTACGTGCTAGTGGACGAGAACTTGATGAGGAAAAGTGCCAAGGAAGGGATACTGCAGAAATGCATCACCCAAGAAGAGGGAGTAAAACTACTTCTTGAAATTCACTCTGGTTCCTGCGGCAACCACGCGGCCTCGAGAAACTTGGTTGGCAAAGCTTTCTGAGCTGGTTTTTACTAGCCCACGGCCATCTCCGATGCAGAAGACCTCGTCCAACGTTGTGAAGGATGTCAATTTTTCGCCAAGCAAATCCACGTGCTGGCACAAGAACTACAGACCATCCCAGCTTCTTGGCCTTTTGCTTGCTGGGGACTAGACACGATCGGGCCTTTCAAGCCAGCGCCAGGTGGTTTTCGTTATGTGTACATCATCATTGACAAGTTCTCCAAGTGGATCGAATACAAACCGCTTGTTTTAGCTACTGCAAAGAAGGCAGTCGAGCTATTCGAAGATATCATCTACAGATTTGGTCTCCCGAACAGTATTATCACCGACCTCGAAACTATATTCACTGGTCATCATTGTTGGGACTTCTGTGAAGACCAATGCATCTCCATCAAATACGTCTCTATTGCCCATCCTAGAGCCAACTACCAGGTCGAACGGGAAAACGGTATGATCCTTGATGCCCTCAAAAAGAGGCTATATCAGAAAGAAGAAAAGCATCCAGGCAGATGGCTCAAAGAGATACCAGCTGTGGTCTAGGGATTGCGCACTCAAGCTAGTCGCAGTACCGGTGTGTCTCCATATTTCTTGGTCTACGGCTCAGAAGCCATACTACCAGCGGACATTGCCTTCCGAGCACCTAGGGTGGAACATTATGATGAAGAGCAAGCCGCAGCTGTTCGGACAGAGGACATCGATAGGGTCGAGGAAGAACGCCTGATCACTTGTATCTGCACAGCCAAATACCTAGAAGGCTTGCGAAGATACTACAACCGCAACATCAAAGGTCGTTCATTTGTTGTCGGCGACCTCATTCTCCGTAGAAAATAGAAAACCGAAGGGATGCACAAGCTCTCCTCCCCCTGGGAAGGGCCCT